TGTATTCATACCCCTCACTGTTTATTCATCATTCACTTCATTCTATCTTTTATTCTGTAGATTGTGTACATTACTTTTCACTTTACTGCTTGTTGCACTCCTGGTTGGAAGCTAAACTGCATTTCGTTGTCTCAGTAGTCTCAGTACCTGTAATCTGTGCAATAACAATAGAGTTGAATCTAATCTTGAGCAGGAACAAATGTATTTACTTAGTACATATCTGACATTAACAATTAAACACATGTGTGCATTCTTTATAAATGCAAACCGAGTCAAGCCGACTCCGGAGGTGGCGGTATGCACCTTAAAGTTGTTTGCAATCCGCCAAAAAACCGAGAGAAGAAGGCGAAGAAGAAGAAGAAAACCGACTCGGAGCTGTCCGACTTCAGGCCAGCTTTTTGAGACCTCCCCCGGCTGCGATCGGCTATTCTCGTCTACTTTCGAGGCGAGCCGCAACGCGTCTCAAACAAGCCTAGTATGCTAGCGCCCACTCTATCACCTTACTAAACGGCTCCATCCAATTATAAACACGTGTGCTTTTCCTGCTACAAATAAAGGTTTAAAATCACCATAAAGTAAAGATAGACACTGCCGTCCTTTATTAAACTATCAGTGTCACAAAATAAAAAAATAGTCGAAGAAAACTTTCCTCAAACATACCAAAAAGCTACAAATTACCTCGATAACACAATGTGTTCCAAAAAAACCTCGTGGCTACAAGAACCTAAGCTAGCTGATGACAGTCGTTGCTTTAGCACACGACAGAGCCATTAAAATACATTAGCAGTAGCAGAGAGTACTTAGCTTGTTGGAGTGAGGCAGTGGTCCCCTTGAGAGAAAACAAAGTGTTACAGCTGTGGTCACTCATCCAAACATTTGTGCTTCCAATGTGCATTTGTGGCGTAACGTTACAGGTGATTCAACACCTTTAGCAGTTATGTGGCAAACACATAAATCTCTCCTCCAAAACGATGTCCAACACGGCTGGGCTGTTAGCAGTCAAGCATGCAAATAGTAGCAGCAGGTTTAAGTATTTTCTGCAGGGTTTGCAGCGCTTAAATACACTGCCAGATTACAAAGGGTGTGTACGATATAAATTGCAACTTGTAGCAGTGGAGTTAACTGAACTAGCCAACAGTGTCATAAGTATAGCACATATACGACTACTACACATGATGTACACCCTTTATTCTTCAAGAGCCCCATTTTAAACTTTAAAATGTATCTAGTGTTTCAAATGTTATCTAGCAGCCTATTTCGCATAATTAAGGCTAGTGTAACAACGAGGTGCATTTTAAAAGAGTATGTAAAAACACAGCAATATAACCTACATTGAATGAATCTGTCCTACAGTAAGTGGACAGATGATCACAAAACGCTGTGCATCAGTAGCCAATTGAAAGAAGCTGTTTGTTTAATTCCAATTAGTAGTTATAATAGTTAATTGCATTTGAAAAATAAAATACAGCAATAGCACCTCAGTATTTTTGGTCCGATATATGGCCTTTAGCCACACAGCAGTTTGTCTTCGCAATATAGGGCAAACCACCAGCATTATAAATGATCTTTCTGATCTGCTGGCCTCTTTTCCAAAGGCCACTACCAGGTTCAATTGAATAGCAAGCTCCTTTGAAAGATTAGTTATTGGAATAACAAGATGTTTCTTATTCCGGACAAAAGCTGAATGTGTAACCATTAAAGTAAGAAAAGTAAAGTAAAGAAGAAACAGTGATTTTAAGATTGCCAATGCAAAACTGATTTGAAACCTATATAAACATCATGAGGAGCCATTTACACCTAAGCAGTGGGTCGTGGATTTTCCTTTAAAAAGAAAACATTTGTGAATCATTGAATTTATGGGGTTGCTATATGCAGGCAGAATAATAAGGATTGACTCAAAAAATATTTAGCCCATCAACAGCTAAGCAATAAGAGAACTGACTGGGTCACGTTCATATTCTACCAAAGGAGAAGGTAAACAAATTATCTTGTTATGTGCTGTCAACGACTGCGCGTATTAGGCCCGGAGAACCCAGTGGGAAATCACACAGAGTAATGATTAGAGATTCAGAGCCTGCCAGTGGGTCTGTGTATCTGCTGTCTGAGAGTGAGCACTTCCCCTTAACCAGGCTGTGCTCATCCCGAGCTCCTGTCTATTTCAGATGCAGGGCGGTCAGTGAACTAATGGGATAGCCGATTTGCAGTGGTTTTTCATTTGGACAGAATAATAAATTCCTAAACATTGAACGATGACAGTTGTTGAGAAATAATTCCCTGGTAGCATTGGGAGATTATTCAAAACCCCTCGATTTACATTCCAGAATAATTGTCTCACAAATAGCACACTGAAAGTGCCACGCGATACAGTGGAGGCGGAAAGTCTAATGAGATATAAAGCCTACCTTGAGAATTAACAAAATCACCAGCCCACATTCAAGATGGCATGGCAAGAGCAACCACTGATACATTTTGTATTATTTATGATAGTGTTTTATGACACAGAATGAGCTGCTGAACTCCAAATACTGAAACGATTCATTGCCTCATCTGCCGAAAGACAAGATGCAGTTAATATTAAAAACTAGCACCATATTACTGTCATCCTAGCTCAAATCTCCATGCTACAGGGTGTGATGCTTTTTATTCAGACCAATTCTCCATTTCTCACACTGGTGCAGAGAAGCAGACTGATTGCACTGTATTGTCCAGGTAATTTTCCAAACTGTAGGGGGTCTCAGTCAAGACGTGGAACAAACAGTCTTTGGCTCTGATTCTCCCAATGTGAATCAAACTTGGGTTCTTTCTAAGAGATGTAGCAAGCTCGTCAAGCTATTTAAAACATCTCTCATACAATGAACAAGCTCAGTCCTGGAATGAGACGATGTTGACTGGCAGGGATGAATCCATTGAGAAATTGTGCAGGTAGATACTGTGTGAGAGGGGGCTTACCTTGACCTAAGATTAACTAAGTGTGGAGGTTGATGATAAGATAGGAATACAAATGTATGCAGAATCCTAGATACTGAGGAGGAGGCTGCAAGTCAAATTAGGAGCCAACACCAAAGCTCACAACAGAGAAGAGAGTAGGAATAGAAAGAAAGCCTGATGGATATGATAGCAAAACAACGTATTAGACAAAGCCGTGAAATGCATCAGACCCTGAATTCTTTTTTTTTGAGCTAACAGATCAACCGTCAGAGCTTATGATAAACACAACTAAAGAGCAGTATTGGATTTAGCATTCTTTTATTTAAACAAAATACTTTATTTAGATTTTTCTATAAAATATTTGAAATTGGGAACATCTTGAAATACACATACAATTTAAGTAACCATTTCAAGGAGATTATTTGGTAGGATTTTCTATCTAAAATCCCTTTTTAAAATGTTACAATACCCATGAAACACAAAACCAGTACAAACAGGTTTTTAATCCTGAATGTCAAGATAATTATTTATAACATCCCACATTAAACTGACAACCTTTGACAACAATAATAATAGGGGGCTAATGGTTAAAGAACAAAAACAATACAAGTACAAAGAAATGTAAGGGGTTTAAAGATAAAAGTGCTAAAGCCATGTATTATTAAAACGACAAACTTTAAGAAAAACAAATCAAAACGGAAACTTCAAAATAGTTCATAGCTTAACTGTCATTTAGCAGTGAGGCTGTCCTCTGCATTGTCTGGTTGGGATGCACTTTTGCTCCCTGTGATTGAGAGTTTTCGAGCTGGGCTGTTCATTACTGGCTGTTCAGTCCTTGATCAGACATTTGACAAGTGCTTAATCAGGAAAGCGGCCTCAGAGGAGCAACTGAAAGTTAATTTCCACACTTCGGCTTGCGGAGATGAATCTGAAGCGTGTGCAGACGGGCTAGCTGCCTTAGTCATGCTTTCAGGGTGACCCCTGCCCCTCGCATTTGCCAAGATTACATCCAGACTGACAGCACTGCGCTCGTCTTCATCATGCACCAGCACGCAGCGCACATCTGAGCACTGACGGAGAGTTAAGTCATTGAATTGGGGACGGTGGGGCTCTGTCCTGACAGAGCGTGGAGTCGGGTAAAAGACAGCATCCTCCTGCACCATGCCGCTGGGTGTCAGTGACTAAAAGCTGGGCCAGGGGCTCAGTGTAGTTATTGGGACTGATTCGCACCCCAACACCTGTGTACAGCAGTATTTGCACTTCGCCTAGAGATACTGTTCCTTCTTCCATGTTACAATGGAGAAAGTACACCAGATCAGCAAGACTTTTCTGAATCTGGCAGCAGACCTTTAAACCAGCATCCAGCAGCAGGTCAGGTACAGAAGCCTGCCAGTCTAAAGACAGCATCATCGGGTCTCCATGAAGCAGCGGGTGCTGAGACACCCTTCTGTCCCAGGGGCAGATAACACCAAGTATGGCCAAGCACAGGTATTTGCTAAGGTTCTGGCTGTGGGTGTAGACTCCCAGGATGCTCTCCTCTGAGGAGCCCATCAAACGCTGACTGTGGGCTGCTAAGCCTATCTGCACCTCTTTCAGCTGCACCAAGGGGACCTGATGGAACATAACCAGGTGCCCGGAGTTAGCAGTCAGGGTGAAGAGGCCGGTCTCTGCCAGGACCAGGATGGCGGGGCTCGGGTTGGCTGCACTTGGCAACATTCAGCCAATTGAGAGCCACAATCTTCTGGGAGTTATGCAGTGAGGTGGAGATGAGCGTCTGAATCTGAAGATTTGTACGTCGTTTGTGTTGTGGAAATGTATTGAGTTCTCCAATGCCTGATCTTTGTCTTCAGGCGAATGGATAACCACTGGGTTACTGATGTGTTTCACTGGTAACAGCTCTGTAGTGAGTGTGTGTCCTTGTTTGAAATGAATATCAGCTTTGTCTTGCTCTTGTGGTAACTGTAGATCCTCAATACTGTTATTCCTTGTCGACGTATCTTGTGGAATTAGCTGAATGTCATTTGGCATTTCTTCTACCATTTTCTGATGCGTCAGTATTTATGCAGCTCTGACTTATCTTGACTTCTTCATGCTGAAGGTATCGAGTGAACTCCGTGTTGATGTGCTGTGTGATAGAAAGATCTTTAACCATGGAGAAATGTGACTATCCTTTACCAGAGAGAAGACCTTGCTGTCCTTCACTACAGACATATATTGACCCTCCCTGACCAGAGAGACAACATGACTGGACCAGCGGGCCCCAACATGCTGTACACCCTCTTTCCTGACATGCTTCAATACTGAGGGAGAGCTCCACAGGAGATGCCCTGCACCCTGGTCCCTGGACCAACCAATTAACTCTGCTGACCAGAGAGCCCAGCCCAGAGTGTTGAATTGAGGCTGCTGCAGTCTCTACCTCTGTTGTAAACCCCTGCAAACCTCCAGATTCATCCATCTCTGCACAGCCAAAAAGGCCCTCGAAGATAGTTTTCTCAGGCGGACAGCGGGCTGCCTGACTGCAGAGGGGCTTTATGTCGAGCTGAGGATGAGTGCTGTTCTGTGGGAGGACAGACGTGGAGCGAGTTCCTCTGCTGCTCTGCAGGTGGGACATGCTGCTTAATGAGCTCCCACCAGAGTCAGGTCTCTCCTTGTAGCAGTCAGCCACGGCGCCTTTGATCTTGTTAGCATTCCCCTCTGGCTTCGTGCCACATCCATCACCCGGGCCCAGGACACTTGTCTGCTGGAGGCTGGCATCCCCTGACCAAACCTCCTCTCTCGCTTTCCTCCGTGGCCACTCAGACATGAGCCCCGGCCCTGATTTATGACACAAGTCCCCCTCCTGCTCCCGGCCATCCCTGGTGCTTATCCCATCCTGTAGTGTGTCTCTATCCATCTGAATACTGGTGTTAGGGACAGGATCTTTACCAGGTATGACCTAGTTTGAATTGTGTAAATGGATGAGAAAAGGAGAAACAATGAGGAAATAAAACTTCTGTACAGAGCATTTAAAAAAAGTCCTAGTTAATGTATGCAATGCACTACAAAAATAAGCACTGCCATTGCAGAGAAGGAATTAAAATAACCATTTCATTCAGCCCCATTTAAAAAGGCCTCTTTATTAATGTTTTCAATTATATTTGAACAATAAATACATGCAAAGGAACATTTTGTGAAAAACATCAAGGTACGTGTATAAACAGGAGTACTTCAAAAGTGTTCTCATTGCCATGTGCGTTGGTAGAGTGACTGTCATTTAAACCCTATTACACTTTTCTGTAGGGGTTTCAAGGAAAATATGTGCATAATAAACAAACACAACAAGCCAAGGGAAAAAGTATTTCATGTCTCGTAAAAATCTCTATTGAGCCTGGCTGGAAAGGGGGGTAGGAGGTATTGACATTTTCTGTTTTGCAAAAGACTAAAGGGAATAGTACTTCAGTTGCACAGTGACTTGTTCAAGACTGCAGAAGACATTTCTTACTTTTGCAGAATCTACTTTAGCTCATTCAATATCTTTAAAAATAATCACAAGTCATATAATTCATGCAGAAAATACCCATGGCTCATTGATTAAATCCTTATTTCATTTAGATCTAATCAAGAGAGGGATTTGTTTGGAAAATTAAAATATGAATACATACTGCATTGATGAGCTTTTCTATTGTGGCTGAGGTTAGACAGCTGTGTGGCACTATGGACGCGGCTGTCTCTGCAGACTGCGTTTCCATCTGGCTGAAAAAGGACACAGTGAAGCGACAAGAATTAAATAATATCTTTTCATATTCTTTTAGAGAACAAAAGTTGCGTCTTGATATGGGGAGGTGTGTGCACAATACATCTGTGTTTATATGCCTATCCACAATGCCAGCCTCTTTGTTTTTAAAAGCTAATTTCATTATTTGCTGTGGTGAGACACTGGAGACTTCAGTTTGCAGCCAAAAGACAAAACTGCACAAACCCCAAACCCCGCCTTCACAAAAACCATCCATTAGATTTGAAAAGCAAACAGCCCAAATGGCTGGATGAGATTAGAGCCTCTCTACTAGCTGTGAAATTAAATAGAATGTGTGCATGTTGATTTGAGGATTTACATACAATTCTCAGCACTCTAGAGGGGGGAGCAGAAACCAAATATACAGCTCAGAATGATTTCTGACAGTAAACAGAGGCTTTGGCTCAGCGCTGTGTTGTGGCAGCTCGGTGAGGGAGGAAAGTGGGAGCGCTAAAGCATTGACAACATCAACAAGAGGGATCACAGGCCGGGTCCTCGTGGTGATTAAAGGATTTTTTGCAGATCCTGAGGATCAGTACAGAGGAAGTCCTGCACTCGGCAGATGTTTGTCTGCTCGCATGAACAAATTGAGGGAACACTGATCTGAGATTTCTAGTCTCAGAAGCAAGCCACATTTTCTTGATTCCATTTTGCTCTCATGCAGAGGTTTACAGTGATCTTGCTGTGGAATGACTGCTGGTACACAAACAATGATTCATTAACATCACCACAGAGAGCACAGTTCGCCTCCATCTAAATCACCTGTTGCCAGTCTCTTCCATCTCTGCCCATGTTGCCTTTCTTTCTGCTCTCGATTGATGGGGAGCCCTACTGTTTTCCTTTGAAAGTCTTTTGATGTCCCGGTGGCGTCTGTTCAGGTTTTCTTGGACCTGCTGCCATTCCACCTCCCGCTGGTTGAGCTTCTCTTCCATCCTCCTAGTTATCACATCATGCATGCACACCCACACAGATTTCACGGAGAAGTCCTACATCCCTTCATCTGCATCACATCTCATTGCATACATTTCTGGATCATTTTATGAAACTCCAACCCAGATATTTGAAAGAGACACATGGGAGGTTGACTAAAAAGCTTTAAAGTAACACAATTATGAAAAAGATAATCACAGCCTTCAGAGCTACATTGTTGTAGGTAGGCTTGCTCTGTCTGCACTAAAGCTAGAAGCTGGAGGTGTGGCACAGGAGCTCCTAGAGTGATGGATGTTAACCAGTGTGAAAACACAATTTCAGAAGATTCCAGTGTCTAATAACAGCCTGTCAGTGGTCAGAAGGCGGCAGAGAGTAAAGTCGCCACTTGGCCTTCTGGTCGGAGTCGGCAAATACTGAGAGGGTTGTCAGATGAGGGACTTTCAGAGCTAAGGGTGCCATTAAAAGCTGCATGGGTCAAATGCCAGCTAGCCTGCTCCATCACTGAGCTCTCAGAGTCCAGACTCTGCCGTGTTTGAAAGAGCAGTATTTGAACTTGGCTCTGGTTACACAGTCCATTTGAAAAGGAAAGAACACAGTGGACCGACTTTTACTAGTGCACATGAGTGTGTCTTTTGTGGGGTCATGAACTAATGCACATTGCAAAAGCATATGACCTCGCAATAACAGACAAACCAAGCTTTCTTGACTCTTCTAGGAGTTTCCATCTCATGTTTCCAAAATAAAAGCGCAATTTAATTGGTTTCCTACACCTCATGCTTAGAGGCAAGGCTACATGAGAAAATCTGCAGTCAGCTGACATAAATGCTCCTTGACATCTCATAAATAAAGATCAGTGACTCAAACATCTGGATAAAGATACAAATGTGAAGTTTTGCAATGTATTGTTAAAGCAGCTAGCCTTTTTCCTGTCCCAAATTTCTAGTGAGCAAGTCTGTGATCCAACTGATGTAGACAATAATAGGAGGCTTGCTTTGTTGCAAAGGAGCAGCCCCTCCAGCATCGGCAGGTCTGTTCAATGATATCTCCTGTCACTTCCAGAGCTGAGCAGATATCCAAAGCAACCATTTGAATTTAAAGTATTTGCTCTTTTTTCCCCACTGAGGCTCATTTCAAAGATGATCGGGCAAACTTAGAGATCAATTCTGTCCTTGCTGCAAGGGATTTTATGCTACATGGACAACAAGCAGAACAAGGATGGAATACATATCCAAGCAATGAGAAGAATAGACATTTTAAAAAACCTTCCCTCTCTGCCAAACAGATGATAGTACAGCATGGATGAGAGGAGGTGGGTGTTTAGAGGGAAATTAATAAGCAGTGTATTTTGCAAAATGTGCTATACTTCCGTATTTGCCTCTGTGTATGTACACTGCAAAAATAAATAAATAAACGCATCAGTCCTGCTGCTAATCTTCCATCACGCTGTCTCAGTTTCCGTCAACCACAGACTCCCGACTTCAATTCTTCTCCATCTTTTTGCTCACTCTGCGATACCGATTTCACACATAAACCAAGTGTTTTGGACATAGTGATGAACACAGGCTATGTGTTTGACTAATTGGGGCCTTGAAGTTATCCTCCAAACACTCAGGTATTTACGCCTCACATACAGGTAGTGTCAGACCAGCAGATCGGGGGAAACGGTTCCAGGTGTCGGACTGAAGGCAGTATGAATCACATGAGCGGGGATACTGCAATGAGAGGGAAATTACATGTCAGCCAGCTCTACACGCTGTAAAACATCAGGGAGGGTTATCAGATCATGAGACTCGGGGTGTCTCAAATTGCTCACTTTCTTCAGTAGGTGGTGAATCACTAGAGAGTGAATTGGATTTTGGGCACTAATTCAATGAACACTGAGTCACTGACAGATCAATGACCTGTCACACAGTTCAAAGGCAGTGGCAGCGTATAAAGATCAGTCACATTAACACAGTGCCTTTCAGAGTTTGGTAGGCTGTGTAATAAAAAAATAATAGTGAGGAACCATAACTGACAAAAGAAAATATGTCACTTTTTGTTAAAGCTACCGTAAATACGATTTTTATGTATTTTCATATATATATTTGCTTAATATTATTAATGAATGGCAATATCCAGATATAGGTTACACAAAGGCAATTAACATATTTTTTTGCCCAATACAAAACACAAACCTCGACACTTTACCTTCAGCCAATTGGGAAAACCAAATATTAAAATTGTACACTAAGACTAAGGTTTAGGAAAGCATGATTGAATCACTCCAGACATAATAGTGTCAACACTAAACTAACAAAATACTTTCCTTATGAATTACCGCAGTATGACCAAAGGCATTTTGCACACCTAGAAAGTTTGATACATCGGAAAAAAACAGCTCAAATTTTCAAGAAGGGCATTTTGTTTTTTATATATTAACCACATGTGCAAGATATAAATGACTGATTTAAAGACATTAATTTAGTGACATAGATTCAGAACAACAATTATATCAGGGGCTTGTATCATCTGCAGTTATCACTAGATGCTGAGACACTTAAATGTGGACTTTGAATGGCTGCTATGGCCATAGCTGATGGTATTTCAAAAGAATGCATATTGAAAAAGAGCTAATGTAAAATGGATCTGGTGGGAGTGTAGCAAAACGAATTATGTAACTTCCCATCAGTACTGCTGCTTCTTCTTCTTCTTCACTCTGCATTTTAGGAGTTTAGGGGAATCTGAACTTTAAGTGCACTGCAGTAATTTTGGAAATGGGACAGGGGTAGTTCCCTACCTGCAAAACTCAAGGCTTTTTTTGGACACGCCCTTGGGCTGTAGAAGTGGAGTTTGCCTGCTGTGTTTTCCACTGGCTCAGCATTAAGCATCAAAATGGCTTTTTTGCATGTTCCCACCTCTCCTCACAGAAATGCTGCCATGATTTATGGCTTTGATTTGGTCCATGCGCCCGATGAACATTGCTCAATAAGCAGGCACAGTGTGGAGATTGAGGTGGACAGGGTTCAGTTATGCTTGGGTCACTGAGAGTTGAGAGCTATTACACATGTCTGCATGCGTCTCACCCTGGGTTCTGCAGCATAGCCTCGGACAGAGTCTCTGTAGAGTTGGACATGTCAGTCAAGGGCAAGCTGAAGGCAGACGGCAGCCCGCTCTGCAGACAACAGAATGAGACAGCACTGTGAAATGTAAATCTGGCAGTGTGAGAAGAGTGACAGCTGCCTGTGGTTGATTTGCAGTTATGCGATGATTCAATTAATAGTATATGCTGTATGTCTTCAGTGTTCATCACACTGTTTTTCACAAAATGTAACAGGATAGATTGAAGAGCTTTGACAAAATTAAGAGGGATGTCAAAATCTAAAATCTGGTTAATCAAAACCCTTCCAAATGAGGGCAAACGGCATGAAGATATTGCATATTCCTAAAATAAAAAAGCACCTTTAATATATAACTAGGTCCATTTTGTGGTTCTGTAATATTCACATTTAATATTTAACACCGTTAGACTGCCATTTGCTATTTGAAATATACCGTTTTAAAACCAGAGTTACATAGGGCATTTTCAGTCTGCTGGCATATTTTAAGACTGAGGAAATGTAGAACTCTAAAGACCATCTCATTTGAGATCGATGTTAAAAAAGAATGACAAAGACTCTTCTCGAGACCACAGCGACACCATTACAGCCAAATAAAGTGGATGTCTCCACTTTATTTGGCTGTAATGGTGTGCAATTTTCAATAATGCAGAGAGCTGTCAGAAAACAGAAGTACAGCTGTGTCTGTAAAATGGTTTCTGAATACATTTTGCAACATAAAATGTTATAAAGCAAGAGGAAATGCTTAAAGGAGACAAGATTAGAGTTGTAGGTAAATTGTACCAGACTGGAACTTACTTTTTAACTTGCAGGCAGTGTGAGTGTTACAGCAATCTTTTTCAGATTGTGCAACTGCAAATACAAATGTTCACTCCTAGTTTCGACAGAGTTTTTCCCTCTGCCATGAAGCCGAGTGGTGCGGCACCTAGGAAACAGTATTTGTATGCACTTTGTCTACCATCTTTGGAATGGAAACCTGCATACTGGCCTCTTGGTGTAATCTGCTTGGTTTGTGCTCCTCTCACAGACACATTCAGTTTCTGTGGATGGTTAATCTAAGTAGATTTAGAGTTACAGACATAACTTCAGTTTTATTTTCCTTCACCCGATTGGGGTTGTTTTTAGTACATTTGGGAAGATTTTGTTTGGAATATCCTTTTATCTTCATGATGTAGGTGTTAAGAAATGGACAAACTTACGGATACTGATGTATTTAACCTCGAATAATTAATCAAACCTGAAAAATACCTACAGAAGTGATCTTAAGAGTGGAGATGGTCTTCAGTTAGAGATTTGTTTCTATTTATCCATTTACCATATAATGCTAATGTGATTTGATACTGTCTAACAATAAACATGTACTTGACCTGCAGCACAAAAGTAAAATGTATACAAAAGTTATTTTAGAACAATATATACACAAAATACTTCTAATCTGCAGTGACCGTACCCCTGTTTTTTATGTGTTCAGAACAACTCCGGGCGTCTGCCTCTCGCCTATAAAAACGTAGTAACCAGATGCCGGATTGTAAAAAATGGCAGACATTGGGTTGAGAAAAACATAGATATAGTTGGACAAAGCTTGTTTCCCAACGAGAGTGAATCGGAGGTTGGTTCGCAACCGCGAGCAAGCATCCTGACCCATACAGCAGTGATGTGGCTTCTAGTGTCATTGCAATCTGTAACCAGCAAATCCTACTCCTTCTGCTTTTAGTCTGTCAAGCACACAACCATTGTATTATTAATTCAACCACTTATACAGTCTAACTTAAGAATACTTAAACATAAACAAATGATTGCAGAGGAACACTGGTTGTGGTTTCTTCAGAAGAAAGGGTGCCTTCACACACAATGGCTCTTTAAAAAACACATGGAAGTGAATGAGAGCCAAGAGGGAGCTGTTGCAGGTCGGGCAAAAAGCAGCGAGTTTTAAAGTGACTGCACCTGGCTTCCTTTCAGAGAGAGCTTCTCTGAGGTCGAAAACAGTTCAATATTTGGGAGAGATTGCTCGCTGTGTGCAGGTCTGGCGCTTTTTTATGAGCCAATTAATCAGAACAAAAGGAGTAGAGTTTAATGCTAAACAGGCAAAAACAAGCAGAAACAGCCGAGAAGCGGGCAGTAGTTTGTATTCTGATCAGAAAAAACCTGCATGGGTCACACACTGGCGGTGTTATTGTGGAGTTTCTGATGTGGAGTGAAGTGTGAATTAAGTTCCACATGAGCCACGTTTGCTGAAGAAAGAAAATATTACAGCTAGTAGTTATGGAAACAAAGTGCATGTTGCTGACTGGCTTTACACAATTAATAATAAGGAGAAAAGGCAGCATCTTTTCTGAAAGAGGCTCTCAGCTATACAAAAACAGCAGGATGGCATGAAGAAAACACAATAGGACTGTTTGTACCTGAAGTTTCTTTTTGAGCTGGGCAGCTTCAGTCGGCTGGTTAAACCGGAGTGAAGTTCCACCGCCTAGCTTTGGTGATATCACCTAGAGGGGACAGGAGAGGAATAGCATGAAAAAAAGCAACTAATTTAGTGGCTGAAGCTTAATACTTGCAGCACCAAACACTGAATTATGTAATACACTGGGAGAAAGACTGGCAGAAGTAAGAAACCTTCAGGAATGGTGCTGCAGGCCTGCCAGGTAACCTTTGGAGGTGTGGCAGTATCTATAATGCATGAAATCAATCTGCAGTGAACTGTCTCTGCACTGAGCTTGAGGAAAAGTTGACAAATTGCATAGAAAGTTCTCCCAACATTTTCCTCTGTTGAGGCAAAGTGAATGAATTGCCATGAAGAACCCAATCCCAGACTGATTGGCAGTGACCTAGACCAGGGGGATGATTTACCAGAGAAAATGGGAACTTGAGGAGTCTTGTAAAGCTATAGAATTGAAGTGATATTAGGGTTTATAAATCAGACTTGCACTCATATGGCCACATCCACAGATTTTCTTGAGGTCTCCTCTTCATTCCTCACCTCCGCACAGCAAATACTAATCTTGCCACTACTAATGACTTCTGACGAGTGACAAAGTACCTGAGAGGGCAGCCTGTGATGGATTCCAGCTGCCGTCGGACTGAAAATTACTATCATTTGTTCAAGAAAATAGCTTCAGATGCCGCCGTTTCTGAAGGGGATATTGGATAAATTGAAATGGTTATAAAAGAGACTAGCGTAGCCAGGCCCTGTGCCGCCTGGTTCTGTGTGCAGTTATTATCTCTGGAAAGCAAAGCAGTGTGGATGAGGAGGTAGTAAGCGGGGAAAAGCTTCCAGCCCCGGATAGAAGGGTCTGCTCAGGGGGGCAGGAGTTTCAGCTCAGGATCGGCTCTGTCCTTTCAAAGGTTAATGCTCTGGCCCACTTCAAACCTGTCGGGCCTATCAACTCCATCTGCCAATTAAATGGAGGGCCTGAGGCTTTGTCTGGAGCTTTGTCTGGGGTCCCTCGCCCTTCAAAATGTTTAGTAAGAGAAATGGCATCTGCCCTGTGGAGAGCTGTTTTCACAATCCACTCATGCCCCAAGTGTGTGCTGCCGTGGGGGTGCCAGGGACACAAAAGTGGATTTCATTTGCAGATGTGATGCAGTGATCTCATATCACTGCATTCAAAATGGATGAGCGGGTTACTGCGTCCCACCAGCCAAATAATTGGGAATCTGAATGAGAAATCTTCATTATTACAGGCACGCCTCCCTCACCCCCTCCCTTCAGGTTCATTAAAAAAATATCAAGAGCATATTATTCTTTGTAGAAATACTTTCCCTGGGTCAGCTGGCAGGGCTCAGTTACCACAGAGCCGTGGACTGAACACAGCGCACCATCCCGCGGGATCAGAGTCACGGGCCCAGCACGGTTCTCCAACACACAATGTTCACTGAGAAGCCCAGGACCACGAAGCACTACAATACAATTAAAAATGAAAGCATAGACATACTGCTAATTATCAGTTTAATACAGAACACAGCTGTTGGGAACATATCGCAGTATCCTTGACTCACCAATACCCTGACTGCATGAGGCTTCTTCACTCCCAATCAGCGTTCTGCCCTCCTACAGCGAAGATTAAAAGGTCATGATACAATATGCAAGCTGTTTGGCAATTAACGGAAGCAATGGACCTTGACTGGTAATGATTTGAGACAAATGTTGAATAATTTGCGTATTATGTGAAGTTCAAATGATTCACTTTCAGATAATACAGGGCAATTCCACCGCTGAGCATGTCTTCATCAATGCCTATCAGATGAGGCAACTGGCAGCCCAGGAGCACTCCACTGCCTTTCTTCTTCAGAGCCACAGTCTCCTCCTGCAGTGAATATACCATGGAGGGGAATAAACTCGTTCAATAGCCTGTAGCAGGAATGGCACACAATATAAAATAAAAATGCTGACAGACATTTAATGGCAACCAGCAGAAAACTGAATTCTTTATGACTGCTCTTCCTTGTCTGAAGGCCAGGCAGAATAGCGGCGTTCCAACCATGTGTCGCCGTGAAGCGGCAGAGTGGCTAACGGCAAGAGAGACACCATCAATCATTCAGATTATGGTGGCGAGAGTCGAACTGTACATTGTGTTCAGCGAGCGAAACAGACGCAGTGCTGCCGGTCACATACACATACACACAATGGGTTGTATAACATGCGCCATTGCCTTTATGGAGACATAGCCATAAACACTGCATGTGAATACTCTCGAGCTTGTATAGCATGTCAACTTTAGATAACAGCAACAAACTTCAGGTAGTTCTGTGTCATTTACAATGTGTCTGATGGGAGTATTGCATGGAAGGTCAGACTGAAGTGAATTCCTGTGAGGGAAAATCATGTCATGGCAAAAAATGAGTACTATTTGTTGAGGACAGTGAATAAGTGTACTAAAATTATTCATTATAAAACTATTTCATTGGGATTTTTTAATTTCCTCCAATAAAACAGGGCATTTGTTTAACATAAACGCCAAATCTGAGAAACAGAGATTCAATGTCTATATTTCAAACATGGGCTATTGATTAAATAGTGACACACAAGCAACATTACAGTTTCATGAGAGCTCAAACTTGACTGATTGCATAAAAAGAAAAAAGAAATCATTTCATACTGCTTGTCCAGAAACCTTTGATAAAAAAAGGTATTTAATGGTGTTACAGCACCTCTCTACAGAAATGCGATAAGAGGTAGAGAAATTGATTTAATCATTGAAAGCCATTTCTAAAAGCACAGGACAGCTACACTTAAAGATCTGATCTGCTTCACTGCCTCCAACAATTGTTGCGGAGGAAATGTAAAAGCCTGAGTCACACCACCTTACAGCATGCGTGTCTGTCAAGGGGCGATATTCATTTAACTTTGTATAAAGAAGTCATTTAGTGTTATATTTGTATTTCTTACTTGCAAATTAAGCTTTAGAAAAGACCAGACAGGCAGCAGACAGAATGACTTTGTTGAGGAGTTAATTTGCCGATTAAATACTCAGCCTTCGACAACCTACTGGGTTCAAAAGGCATTCTGAATCAAGCCATAAAAGAAACTCAACTCTCGAGGCAAAGTGTTAAGGCCGCTAACCTTTTCCTCCCAGGGCAATGGCTGTGGTTCAATAACACAGAGTCTACCCAAGCATGAGTGGCCCCTATCAGGAGTATTCTTCTGTTAAGCTGGTGGACTAATGCCTCACATTGCCATGGATTATCATAAGTACCCCCCCAAGAGGCAAAGCAGAAAATCTCACATATGGAGGATTCAGAGGCAACACTCTGCATAAACTAGTTTCCCTCTCTTTCAACCTCCTCCTGCTCTCCTTCGTATAGATTGGGCGGTGAAGTGAGAGACGTGTCCACCACCAGCAACACCTCACTCATTGGCAGTTGTGAGAAATCCTTTTTTTTCCTAATGAAGAAGGAGAGACATCGACCCTGGCCCCTGTACTTAATTAAAAGGGATTCTTCACAGACTTCATTAAAAAGGTGAGGAGCAGCCTGGCAGATTAATGCACTGTGTCACTCTCCACGGACATCAGGAACAGATGAGATCTCCCAACATCCACACACAAAACACAGAGTTGCTCCTCACCACACCCAGTCAGTCAGTCTCGTCTGTGCGGGTGCTATGAGGACAAAATGAAGTCTGCTTTGAGATGGAGGCAGCTGGTGAACATACTGTAATTAACTGTGGCCCAGACCAGCAGCCAGTCTCGGGCAGCATTTAGGCTCACATTAAAGCCATCATCTGTGGTTGTGCAGAATTTTTTATGGGTTTTTCTCAGCACTTTGACAGTTCAGGTTCCTGCCTTTATTAATATGCATTTCCAAAACACACTATTCCAACTAATCCTTCTTTCCAGACTGCCCATCAGCCTCGTCAAGTGGAGCAACTCGCCAACAGAACAGATAAGCAGCAACTGAACCCAGGCCAAGAAAAATAACGTCTGCATTTCAATCTTTCTGTTACATTAAAAAGGTTAATTTCCATGAAAGAGCTGTATTTATACCCAAGAATATTGCTCTTTATAAAAGTTCAAATGAAAGCGCATGAAGGGAAAGGCAATTACATCGCCAGCTTTTTAAATGGCATGAAGCCTTATATTCCACAATGGTAACCAACAGAGAGGGATTGGCATCTTATTAACAGCCGTTTCCATTTCTTACTCGCCCCTTTATGTTTTTTTGTGGGTTTTTTGCATGTGAAAACAGAATCTCAGGCAGAGAGTTGTTGTTCTGGCCGTAGTGTGAATGTTCTGTGTAATTAGCTTGATATGCACTCTGGACATCAGCATGTTGCCATGCATGCAGTTTGTTTTAATAACTAGAGAGGGATTCAACTCAATAAAACGATCTGGGCTCCTAATCAGTTAATACATTCTCATCTATGTGTCCCATTCAACTCATTTCAATATATTATTGAAATTGTAGCCGAGTTGAATTCTTATTATCTGTGTCATTCATTTGTTTGAAGAATGTGAAAAATGGACTGGGTTGTTATTAGTAGAATTTATATTTTGGCCTCAGTTGGAGATGTTAGTCCTTATGCATGAATGGCATTTATAACACATGTGCTCGCCATGTGCATTTCAGACATGGCCAGATGATTTCTTCAATTTAATTTAAGAAAAAGTCAATCTAGTTTGGAGCTGACTTTTACTCACATGTGAACAATCAAAAGGTGAGCTGCTGATGAGAATATGTAAAGGTCATGAAATGCAATAATGACCTGAAAAGTTATAACTGCTGACAGTAGGAAGTACATTGGCATTAAACAGAGCCAGGCTGAGAGCATTCAAGGCTTAGGTTGCGTCTTTGTGCTGATTGCAGCGTGTTTGGGAAGTACAAAAAACACTAAGATCAAAGAAACCCCGTTTCATTTTATCTTACTGAAATTGAGGTTCCTCCCACCACTGTGTTATAATGGGGAACTGAAAGAGTGGCTGGGGAGCAAACTGCACTCGTGAAGTAGAGCTACTCACAAAATCTGTGCGTGTGTGTGTGTATAACCCTGAAGTAGAACAACATTTCACTTTACCCTCTTCCTGCCTTTTTTGTTCTCTCAATTGGTCGCCGTCTCTGTCTGGTAAGAGGCTGCCGTGGAATCCATCTCATATTAATTACTTTCTCTTTCCCACATGCCCTGTAACCAATCTGGGAAGCTGACGATGAATAACTTTGCATTCTAAATCTGCTTTGAATACAGAATTCTAAATTCTGTTTACACCCCTCTTGGTCAACTTGTCTCCTTCCGGCCCAGGCAGAAATGTTCATCTAGCTCTCAGCTGCAGCATTTACTGAATTAAACCCCCCCAAAAATATGAGAATCGAAGAGTTGAAGAAGAAGAAGAAGCTCTTAATTTAATGTGTTAGGTGATGTAGAGTATGCAATATGTATAGCCCCATACACAAAGCCATTTGTTAGGAAGAAACTACTTTAAATAAATTCCCCAAATGTGATTAAGGTTTTGTTTGTATCGTATGTGTGCTGAATTTTGAAACGGCCACTTCAAAATGAGGCTGGATGTGCTTCTCTGTACCGAGCTGAGCACATACACCACCTCTAACGTCTGTGCAGAATGCAAATGCACAGCAAGACAAATGTCAAATCCATAAAGTCATTCATCAAACACTTAGACTTGCGGCCACAACAGAGGGCCTGCTGGTCACCAGTACAGTGGCCTTTTTTGCCCCGGTGTCACGTTGCATCGTGCATCATAACAGGTGCTTCTACATGAATGGGCACAGCTCTAAATAAGGCATATTTTTCATCTCAGCCAGCAGAGATGGACGATGTTGCCTCCGAGCACAAAGCCATCAGTGCTTGACCATGTGAACAGATTTACAACGCTGTAACTTGAAATAATATGCCGGATAGTCAGAAACACAAGTGCTATATGGCAATAATCAAGACCTTTTCATTAGGAGTGCCGACAGCTGCTAATGAGTTCAAATACACTGCCATTAATAAAGGGCTGTCACGCCACCCAATGTTACCTGTGGACCACATCATACAGTATCATAATGTTACAAATCCAACACGCATATATAGCCAACATTCATGTGTAGGGAATTTTAACGTCTTACACAATGGCTTCCTAAGTGTGTAGCTTCACTCTGCCATTCTGGTGCAGAAGTCAGAAATGTACAAATCTTTCCATGTCCAGGAATCTGCTAGAAAGAATTATGTACGATCGTGACAACATTTCTCTGCATACTTTCTGACTGGCACGCTTCAGAGTTCAATGCATAATGCAACAGGCTACTTGGCAGAGTACAATGAGTCCCAAACAGATGACATTTGGTGTTATTTGAGAGGTTGGGCACAAATTCAACAGGAGGAAATTTGTTCCGTGTAAACTCTGCAGTTGGCACACAGAGGAATTTTTTGTTGCAGCTCGGGGTCTTATAAAAGATGCTGCCACCCTGTCTCAGCCTTAGAGACACCATATTGGGTTGAAAGAGAAGGCACGTCTGTTCTGTTTTTCTTTGTCAGTCTCCCCAAACACTGTCACGCACACTAACTTCACGATCATTACAAGGACTCAGCTTTGGGATGCCATTTAAACCCTAAATAGATGGAAAATTAAATTTAAATGTCAGGTCGACTCTTCTCTCATTAGCCTTTCCACTCCATGAAGTGGCTGTGGTTTACAAGACTTGCAGCGACACCAGCTGGTAGGTTGTCTTTACTGCAAGCAGCACCATCTGTCAAAACTGCTGCTGGGAGAATTGTCGCTTTGTTGATTGCTAACTGTTAATAGATTTATATTATATCTATATTTATAGAGAAAAACCTTCACACTTTATGTACTCAGTAGTTTCTATTTTACGTGCATATATCCTTCTGTACCAATCTTAAAAAGGAATCAATTTTACATTTCAAATAATAAATTGCGGTTCGGACTTTGACTTAACTAAATTGGGGCCAAGAAAACAAAGCAGGAAACAAAAACGTAAGAGCACCTAACAAACTGCCGCTTTGAGAGAAACAACAACGCTCCAAATAATATAATTTAATTGTATAAGTGTAGGTGGCATTTTATTCTGAAATGTTAACCCATCTCTGTTCACAAACAAAATGATAGATGCCAAACAACAGGGTTTTGCAGGAAGTCTTTGGTTGTCTTTAAAGTAGTAAGAAAAAAGTAATGTATAAAGAAATCCTAGTTATCCTCAAGCTCATTTCAAAGAATCGAAACAAACAGAATCTGGCTTTTGTGGGTCAAACTAACTGCTGTTGAATAGGTCAAAGGGTATTTGCACCAAAGGTTACTTTTCTTATCTCTTTTTTAGTAAAAAGGGTTGTAAGAGGAGTTTATGTCAACAAATTTGTGAATCAAACTCAGGACAAAGGTATTGTGGAAGTGCCTGGATGTTTTGGTGGACGTAGTTATACTTGTAATATAAATAATTACAAAGAAAACATGGATTTGTAGACGTGGTTAGTCTTTTATGATAAAACAATGTGTCTTTGGGCAATTGTGCATCTTTTGTGGGAGCAATCTCTTGTTTTTCTATACTTAAAAACTGTTTTAATATGATATATTAAATGTTGCTCTACCTGCAAAATACTGCGAGTATCGCCACATTTGCTGGTCCACTCCTTGATCAGTTCTAGGACCTAGGGGGAAATAGCAGGTGTATTGTTTACAAAGAAAAACATAAAACCTCCCCCACATTTCCGTTTGGGAGAGGATGACTCACCCTCGCCTCATTCTGATGCAGCTCCTCCTCTACCTTCAGAGGAAGATGGTTCCACACGGGAAACCTGGAGAAGTAGTGAAAAGACAGCCAAACCTACAATGTAACCTTTGGATAAAACACTGTCAGCATTCATATTGCAGTGTGCTCAATGGCCTTTTATGTGAGCTTGAACATATGCACTGCAGGACCTGATCAGCTTCTTCTAGTAGCCCTCAGAGTCTGGAAACCTCTGCCCACAGCTCTCTGATCACCTTCACCTTTTCATCTTAGTTCACCGTGGGAGAGTTCACTATGTTTTTAGCTCAGCTAGCGTAGCGCAACGTGCTCATCGTCTCCAGGTAGTTCACATTGGCGGGGGAGATGGCTGCCACGAGGAGGGAGGAAAGCACACATAAGATATGTGGAAGAAGATATGAGCAATGAGTGGGATGCACACTTTACTGGAAACAGCCTGAAATGTCTTGGTCAGGTGGAATTCACATACTTGCGATCATAGCAGTCACAGAGTTTCCACCCAGGCTGTCTTTCAGTAGCCATGTCAGCACAGAGTCTCTGTAAGGAATGAAGTTATTCTTTTTTGTTGACCGAACTCCCACACTAAGTTCAGCTGGAAGGTCACACAGAGAGAAAACACTGACTCAGACAACTCCAGTAACAAGTGAATGTTTTTCTCAAGGTCTATAGATAAATGTTTTGGGTTGCTGGGTATGCAGACAATACATTGAATTGCATATGTAATTCCAGATATGAATTTGTCAAGTCAAATTTTACCTTCAAATAAATATTTGGAATGAAACCTGACATCCAATTACAGAATAAAGAAACAAATAAAACTGCGTTTTATTTTTGAAAAGAATGGATCGATAAGAGATAAGGAATCATTGTATTCTATACTAGGTCAGCGGTTTTATCCACTAGTCGGTATGGTGGATGAAATTGCTGCCTTCGCATTAAATTATTGATTGGATTGGCTGAATACTAGAAGAAGATTGTGTGTCATGGTGTGTCAGTCCTGCTGTAACTGCCATTTACCCAGAGCAGAGATCACACTGCCCAGGATGACCTGGGATTTGTTGATGTTGGCGCTATCCTTCAGCCTGAAGTCTGCTCTCTTGCTGCCTGCCAGGTCCACCAGGTGGAAATTACTCAGCGTCTCATGGGGCACCTCCGCATCAAACCACGCTTGTGGCATGAAATAACACTACTGAGCCATCCCCAGTTCAAAAGAGGCAACTACACATGGGAATACTTGTATGCGAAATGGCAACAGTGCTAGACTTTGAAAATGAAGTAAGCATGTTGGAAATTATCAGTACATAAAACAGATAAACAAGGTTAAAGAGCTCCTAAGGGATAACCTTTACGAACACCCAAAGAGTTTGCGGGAAAACTTTTAAACTGACAACAAGCTCACCTGGGTGAACCTGATGGTGAAGATGCCGTGGGAGCAGCTGCTCGTGCCGTTCTTGCCGGTGCTGGCTGTGGTGCGGTTGGCATTGCCGAGATTTATCAGGTCCTCCATGTCATTGTGATTGTGAACCAAGTGCTGGGACAGATCTACAAACGAGTTGTAGTCTGCATTAGATTTTCCTGAAGTTTCTACAAGAAGACATAGACATAAGATGGCAAATAAAACATACTCTCCATAGGGTCCATCCCTGGGGTGCTCTCTCACTCTCAAGCCTCCATACTGTATGTCGGTATAGTTTTCTTGATGAGAAGGTCCTGCACACATTCATTATAGATCTCCAAATAACAGGTGCCAAGACAGAAAACACAAAACCAAATACAATCTACGAGATTGTACACAAGGCCACAGATTAATGAAGGTTTACAGTGCTATTATTGATGGCAAAGCACCAAAAGGAGAACAAAACAAATTGCTATTTTTCTTGTCTCTATAAAGATATGCACAATAGCTTTAAGGACAAATTGTTGTGCATGCATTGCTCTCCTTGCAATGGCAATGAATAAACAAACATTATGCAAAGTAGGTTTCGGCAGAGCACTTCAATCAATACTGGGTGTGTGCAAGAAGCAAAAGGACTATTCTGAGTGGCTGACTCAAAAACAATTGAAGGCATGGAGCAATCAGTCTTCATGAAAGCGTGACACTGACGGAGTGATGGCACATTCTGAAACAGCTTTATGCCATGACATCACACACATCCTATCACAATATTCGTATTAGTTTAATGCTTTAAATAGCATACAATCATAATAATATCATGCACCAAATGGTTTATAATTTGTAGCCTTATGGAGGATGTGAATGATCAAATAATATAAAGCCATACAATGAAACAGTCACTAAAAATACACTATATGTGAATCGGGTAAACAAAAGCAATTTTAATAATTACCATATTCTGTCTACTAAAACCAAACATTCAAATAACATCTGTCTTTCTGTCTTATCTGCAAGATACAGGTGATTATTATTATTTGGAAAGTAATGTGTAACTTACATTTCTGCTGGGTATAAACCAAAAAATAAAATAAACTACAAACATATCAGCTGTAAGATGAAATCAAACAACACTTTTCCAACTATTCAACATTTCTCAGGCAAGGCTTGGCAAAGCCAGACAGTTACAAATAATTCTACAGATGAATAAAACCCAGATAATGGGCCAGCAGCACACATGATACCAAATGGCAAAAATAATACTTTCGCAGTAGCTTGATGGGCTAAAAATCCTCAAATTATCTCCCAATATAATCATTTAGAAGCAGAGCTGGGACATTTAATAATGAAACGGATATTGCGATGAGTCTGTTTATTATCTGGGACATTATTGTAATAAAACCTTAATGTTGTCTTTTATGACAAATGGTCTGCATTATAGTTTGGTCGAGTCATTTTCTGAAGTGAAGTTAATGTCTTTACCTGCTTCACCATCATATGATATTTAGATCATTCCACCGACAACAACAAGAACAACAACAGGGAAAAACAGCTCGTTACCTAGAAAAGGACCTATCTTTTCGATATGTTTCACTTCATTCTGACATTTTACTGTCGGTATCAGCTGGAAGGAGCACAATTGTAATCTACATGTGTGTACTCATTTTTGGGTGGGCACAATGCCTTTGGGCACACATTAAATGCACTACAGTTTAATTTTGAAATAATGAAAAAAATAGTATCTGATTCTGCTTTTTCTTTGTTTACTGGCCATTTTCCCAATTGCATCATAGAGCATAACGTACAAAGGTAGGCCTTACTTTTGTATTGAAACTGCAATACTGACATGTCTATATCCAACACAACCTCTTCACATTTTTCACAAGATAAATGTTTTAACTTGTGTACTCTCAAATGGCATCAAAGAAAGCCAATTGAACTCTGATCCCACATGTTTTTTGTGTGGAGGGCAGACAAGACAAGCTGAAATGCTTTTCCACATGATGTTTGCTTTTGCTTTCCGATTTGTTTGTATTTCATAAATGATGAGCAAAAGAGTTGTAGTGGTGTTGAAAAAGGCTTTCAGTAGCAGCTTCTTAACCCTTACATTTAGAGATCTGCAGTTACATCTGCAAGTTTATCATTTTGATGATCGGAAAATGAACCTAGCTTCGAATTCACTTCCATTAACCAATTTGTCTTGCCAACTCTACATGCTAAGTACCAAAGAATGCACATGCCCAACCCCTGCTGCCAGTCTCTAATATGTAATGGGTAAAATACTCTCCTGAAGTCTTTTTGAAGGTTTGATGTTTAATGACTAAAGTGCAGAAGTAGATAAGAAGTATTGCTATATAAATGCATGATGTTGACCTCTGTACGGAAGGACACGGCATCACTCTTGGCTCTACGAGATATCTCACTGAACAAGCCCTCACAGATCTGTGGGATTAAACCTTTGTTGTTCTGGGAAATCAAAAAAAATGTTGTTAAAGGTTTTTTCTTTTTAGAAAACATTAGTGTAACAGTGTTGTTTAAAATTATAATTTCATTTTGCTCCTGTTGTGTTCTTCTAAATGTAGGTGTGTCTTTGCCATTACGTGACCCCAACTCCGCACATGCAAAGAGTGCTGAACAACAGATCATCTGATATGGAGTTACTGAAGCATAAAAGCAATTCCACTCTGAGCTGCATGCCCTCTTGTTTTAATTACAAAGTAACAGATAGAAAGCATTAAGAGCCATATATAATTATCTGGGATGTTGACAGCAGCTTTGCTGATGACCTTGCACAAGTCTCCTGGTAGACAAGCAGAAAGGTCATTTGTTATGTGAAATGTCCATTGCCTTGCAAGGTGAAGAGAGAAAAGCCGTGGTATGCTGCCCTCATCACATTTTCTGATTAGTGGGGAGAAACATGGAGATAAATGGAGAGACTGGGAGGGACGTCTGATGAGACTGCCATCACTTTCTAATGTGTTGAGGAGTCAGTGCTATGAGCCCACCGGGTGCTCGAGTATTCTGCAACGTAAGCTCTAAAGTGAATTTGGTGACATCCTGGGTCTCCCTGAAGATTGAGGGTCTAATTTAAAAAGGGCACGTTTGAGATGCAACTTGGAAAGCTTTGAATGTTTGTAGGATAGCTACCTTTCAAGATACATTAAAAACAAAATGACACATTAACCTTGGTAAGAGTGCTGAGAAAGCTGAGAGAAGGCCTTACTGCGTGACCCATCATGGTGTAGGATTTTCCTGAGCCTGTTTGGCGATAGGCAAACACACAGTCGTTGAAACCATAGACTGTATGGTTGAAACCCTCAAATGCAGCTTTCAGGACATCAGACCCCAAGTCAAGAAAGATCTGATGCAGCAGAAAAAAAGTTAAAATATCACTTAATTGGCCAACAATACAGTAGGCTACAAATCATTCAAATGGTTGAAACTGATAAAGAATAAAGAAACCTTTTCCTGGGATATACATGTGGGTTTTCCTCTGTCTGATTAATCATATGATAAATCATATATAGCTAAAAGTCTTCACTTATTCCTTCGACTCGTCCCCTCGATTAAGTGAAGGCTACAAATTCAAATGCACAACATTTTTTCATTAAAACGTTATCAATTGCAGTACAACGAAGAGTATTTTTTATATTTAGGCCTACCTTGTAAATAAATGTGGAGTTTCCCTTCATGTGAACTATCACCTTGGATGATAACTGCTTTTCTCTGTGGAAAAGTGAATGTGAATGGCACTAGAGTTTATCAAGGAGAAAATATAAGCAGTCTTTTAAATTACCTTTTGTTCAATGGACTAACTCGGACTGCTACTCTCATAGAAGCCATTATTGATCAAAATCCAACGGAACACCTCAAATGGCCAGTCCTCTCCAAAGAGAAGTTGGCCTTCAGTGTGAAGGAATCGCCGTGAGCATTATGCACCTAATTACCTCACCGTGCCTGTGCTCACTTTCTCGATACACTACCTTATGGCGCTTTTCCACTGCAGGACTTAGTACGGTTTAGTACGGTGTTGTGTCAAATTATGCACCCCCTGGCCTTCCGGAAAAAGCGCCACCCAAAAAAAGATGCTTCTATTAATCCCACCCTCAAGCACTTTGGAGGGTATAGTTGTAGGACTAGTACCAATAAATGGAGCAAGTTTCATGTATGTGACACGTGTATTGTCAGTGATCACCCATACGTTTTCACTTTTTTTGTTGAAAAAAATCAACAGGCTGTATTGTAACAACACAGCTCTCCACACATCAGATGCTAGGTTTTAGCTCCATATTATGTTAATGAATCAATGTATAAGCGTTGAACATCGACGTTAAATTCGATTTGAATGTTAAATATTACACAATTAAAATAATTGTATTTGTCCGGGATGTTCCAAAAAGCAAGCATTAAAATACACGATTCATCTGTAAAAACAGCCTCCACGCCTCACAAGAATGAACCTTTAAATATAGTCTTAAATGTACGAATTTGTATGTATTTGTTAGCACGTTTTAGGGGGACCAACCATGGGACCAACTGTATTTTCAATGGGAATCTGTTATTTTCGATTCTTTCGTTTGTAACTTGAACACATCATCGTCGTCATTCCACGTTTCCCATGATGCATTGTGAGAAACACACGGTGGGGACATTCAAAACTATGGCAGGAGTATCGAATATATTTAACTAACATTAAACTCTGAAGACATGGAAATCCCGTCAGCTATTAACAGCGAAGATAACATTATAGCGAGGCGCCTGTCGTTTTCTTCGGAAAAATATGTTATTACAACGGAGGAACCAAACATGACATGTAAAGAAGTCCTAACGTTACAAAGTGTTCCCGACGACAAAAATTCATGCGCACTGTCTGCGGAAGTAGACCAACAACTTTCTACACTAGCCGTAAACACATGTTTTAACGTGAATAATGAAATTGAATTAAAAGATGCCTCCCCTAACCATCGACTTAATTCAAAACAGCAGAGCGTAAACAACCCAGAGGACAAGGAAAACGCCGCTTTACCGTCCACACCCAGCCTGCCCGGTGAGTCACATCCATGGGACATGAGTGTGAAGCTGCATTCTGAAAACACTGCATTTCATTTTGATAGTCGGGGTCAAATTCAGGTTGTTTAGAGTCATCCTGTTCTCTAATTTAAGTTCGATACCGTATGTCTCAATAACATGTTGACATTATCAAAAATAATGCATATTCAAGACAGACATTCCATTTTCAACTTAGTTTTTCTATTTTCAATTTAGTTTTTCTCTATGTTCAACTTAGTAATTACCAAGCACTATAAACTAGTACTGAACTTAGATTCAGTTTTGGGGTACTTCCAATATTTTAATAAATGTTTACTACTCCATTACAGTTATTAGGATACAGCTGGAACATATATTCAATTATGTTGAAACGATTAATAGTTTGAAGTAAAGGGTGAAATCATCTGATCCTAGTGTCCAACTGTTATTATTTGTATATCCTTTCTGTTTTTTAAATAATGGTCATTGTATATGAAGATAATTTTTTGCTTTTCTTGGAAACTCGAACATTCAAGGTGATAAGTTATTGAAGTGACTGTTATTTTGTATATATTGATTGTTGTGCTTTTATTTGTGTCTTAATGTGTGCATATGTATACATGTTTCTGTTGATATATATATAGATATAGATATATATATATATGTATACAGAGTTTTATACATCTTTTTATATATCTTTGTTATTGTTTTCGGGATTGTGGGAAACGGTATTTCGATCTCTGTCTGTACACACAAACTGAAAGATTGACATTAAAGTTGACTTTGACTTGACTTGATACTCTAACTTTACAGACACATATTTTGCAAATGTTTGCTTACAGAACAGTAATGTCAACAAAGATATTCAGAAAGAATGGCCCTACGCTGACCAGCTGCACTAAAATGCTGCTTTCACATTGAAGCATTAATCATTTTAATCCTGAAGTTTAACATGACTTATACAAACATAAACTGTATACATTTATAATTTAGCAATACTTGGAAAGCAGGACTTTAACTGATTTGACTGACAATTGCTATTGTTGCCTACGAGTATCTAAATAATTATTCCACTGCTGGCAGACAGTGGTATGTTAAGTGGAAATGTGGACAATGGTTTTATAGGAATACTGGCCTTGCTAAATTGAATTGACCTTAGCTGAAATTGGGCAAGAATGGTCTGTTGCTCACCCTAATGACATTATTCTGGTTCTTGTTTGGACAGATAACAACCAAGAAGAGGACATTTCTGGTCAGAGCAGTGTGACTGCCTGTCAACAGCTCAGTAACCCAGAGGACAGTGATATGGAGGTGATGAGACGAGCGCAGGACAATGACTGTGTGAACGTGGTTTTCCCTGGAACTGTGACTCAGGAAGGCTGCTGCCGCTTCGTCAGTGAGATCCTAAAGTGCATCCTCTATCAGAGACAGCAACTGCCCATGACATATGACCAGCTGGTGTACTCCCAGAAGAAACAGCAAGCCTCCATGCAGGTGAATTAGGAACACATGTGTGCACCTTCAAGATTCAAAGGCTTTATTGTCATATGCAGCTACAGCGAGAACATCCTAAATTCCAAGCTCCTCCAACAATGCAACATATATTATACCATAAAATAATTAAAGTAAAAAATAGTGCAGATCATATAATGGTGCAAGTAAAATGCAGAATTAGGTAAATTATATACAGGTAAACTAGGGTGAGATCAGACAGAATACAAAATGAAATACTGTATATTGCACTTATATATAAGTATGTTAAACATAATCAGATGTATGTGCTATAAACTTATGTAAGTGATTGATACAAATGCATAGTTGGATAGGATCTTGAGACATGGCAGCCATACAGGGTGGCATTTTGCACAAATGTTAAAAAATGAAGAAATGATGTGGATTTGAGATGAACTTAAACCGTTTGTTTAATGTTTTGCTTTTCAGGATGAAGACATAGTAGCTCGGAGGCCGGGGCAGTCTGCAGACGTGAGCGGGCGCAAGTGTCAGCAGACCCCTCAGGAGCTGGAGGAGGTGCTCTTCTCCCTCAGCAGGGTGCCCCGCGTGCTGCTGCTGATGATCAACATGGAGGCCCTGGTGTTGGCTGGTGGAGACAAAAGTCTACAGGTGTCCGCATGCTTAAGGCAACTCTTCCGGACTCTGTTTGTGGCCGACCTTTTGTCGGACACCAAACCTGTTCGTTTGATTCCCACCACGGTCTTGGTACTGGCCCACAGGGACTGCGGCGTAGGGTGGTTCCGCCCTAAACTACAATTTAAAGTGCCAACCCGTGTAAAGAACCGAATTATCGCTCTGTCTAATGATCCCAGCACCTGCAAGGAACCAATGGTCCAGGGGTCCGACTGGGAGGATTATGTGTGGTTTCAGGCACCCATGACCATCAAGGGCTTTGGCAAGTGACATCAGGAGTTGGGAAGCACATAGTCTGAGATGCGGATCTCTGTTTGGAGCCTTTTTCCTACAATTTTATTTTATTGGTGGTTCAAAGGAATTAAAAACTTGAATTATGAGTAACATGTTTTCTACTTGACACTTAAAAACAAAAGTGCATTTATTGACGCCGGCAGTAAGGTGTATTATCCTCTTATGAAATACTGAGATAATTTGTTCTTAGGAACCTTTGTTGGCATAATCTGTTTGAGCACATTGTGTATTGTTTATATTTCTGAAGAATGTTTTGCAGAAAATTCTAACACTTGCTAATTGGACATCAAACATAAAAACAACACATTAATGGTGTAATACATTTTTAAAGAGCGAGAACTTGAAGTGTCTATTGTTTTAATAATTTGAATCGCTTTAATCTTATCTTTAGATATATTCAAGTGACAGTATCATCTGTGTATGTGTTTACATTTTATTAAAATGTGAAAACGATTTAAACAATGCTGACATTTCTTAACACAATCAAGCAATGAGGTGCATTGTAGTGTGGAAATAATCTTAGTAAAAATTAAGTGCATTCATATCTCATTTGGAATGAGTAAACAAAATCGAATAACAGAATTAATAATGAACCGATGTACCATAATTACGTTGGTGTGTAAGTGCATTAACACGGTCAGAACTTCTCCACTTTTTTCACAAACTGGACAAAGTCGTTGGCTAGCAGCTGAGGCTCCTCAAAGGCAGCAAAGTGACCGCCTCGTGGCATGTAATTGTACGACTGGATGTTTCGATACCTAATCTGTGCCCAAGACTTTGGGCAGTGCAACAGCTCGTTGGGGAAGGCGGCAAGTCCAGTGGGTACAAATATTCCTGTCCTAAAACACAAGAGGAAACCGAATCAGAGGTATGACATGGTTTGATTATAAGGTTGTCAAATTTGTAAAACAAATGACAGTTTGGATAATAGGAGCATCCAACCACATACTTTGCATCCACTCTGTTGTCTGGATTTCCCTTGAAGTTCTCTTTGTAGAAGCGCATGGAGGAGACGATGGAGCCTGTGGTCCAGTAGATCATCACGTTTGTCAGGAGGTCATCCAGGCTGAATTTCCTGTATGGATGCAGACATTATTTAACAAACAGCCAGCAACAATCTTTGTTGAATCTATCATACAATATATTTATATATGCCTAAAAAGGCAAAACTGAATGTTGTCTCGTACCTCTCCAGCCCACCATCCTCGAGATCTCTGTTCCTATTATCAGTCCAGGTGGAGAACTTCTCCAGGATGTAGGCCGCCAAGCCTACAGGAGAGTCATTGGCTCCACAGCCTGTAACCACAGAATAAGATATTGGAGAGATAGTTTGGATGTTTCAAATTAGAGTAATATGAGGTACATATCCAGAGTTAGTGTATACAGATGTTAAGCATTGTTCTGCTGGGGCTGGGATCATCAGCAACATTTATTTTATCCCCCTAAAAATACCCTTTTGTCAAAGAAACCTTATTTTACCTTATAGAACAATGAAGTTGCTGGTCTACCGCTGCCACAATCGGTCAGTTTGTGATACTGTGTGACTGATGTGTTAAATGATTCGTTTGGATTAATCAGGTCAGGTCAAATGATTGTTTTAGCAAATGGAGTATAGTTGCTTTAATGGAAGCATAGACAGTAAAGGCTTCAGTTCCCTGTGGATTGATGACATTTGCCCTGTGTTTTTCTCGAAACTGAATATGGATAAATACTTCATACAACACCACCTAAAAAATCGGAACTTTCACTTAAAGCGCTTAATAAATACTCAACTGAGATAATAAAATACTAGCAACTGTTTGCTTGCCTCAGGTGGTTTGTCTTTGGCCTGTCAGCAGTGTCAATATGATCATCAGAATGTGTCCCCACCTGCAGTGTCTGGTTTAGTGGCCTGGATGTGAAGGTAGCCGCTTTCCTTTAGGATTTCCCAGACATTCTTCTCAAAGAAAGGGAACAACCGGCGAACATCTTCCCGACTCAAGCCCACCAGGAAGGGCAGATAAGGTCCAATAATGAGGGAAAGCATCACTTTGAACCCTTTGTTTGACATACACATGTTTAAGTGCAGACCTTTCACGCATCTGGAAAAGATTACCAAAAAATCTAAATTACAGTTAATGTGTAACAGGATTTGAATCTCTATTAATTTACAAATTAAAGCTAGAAATGCTAGTTTTGATCATGTTTTTTATTTTGACCTTTCTCCAGCCTACAGGAATTTGTCGTGCAAATAGTTTTGGTCGATTGTGAACTTTGCACACAGCAAACACTGTTTCACATTTCTGTCAGAATCTCAAATTGCTCTCTTTTATTAAATAAACAAGTGGGTGTGGGAAATTCCACTGAAGTGATACAACTTGAGGCATGTTATGGCTTGTTTTTTGTCTTACTGCGGTTTCATCTGTGACATGTTGGTGGTGATGAGAGAGCCCCAGTCTCCACCCTGCAGATAGAACTGGGAGAATCCTAAACGCTCCATCAGTGTCAGGAAAATGCGGGCAGCAGCGAGACTGTTAAATCCTGAAAAGATACAAAAAAAACACATCTGTTAATCTGCTGCTCTAGCAGAAATACATACATTACTAAGAATCCTCTACCTTGTTTGTGGGAGGCTTCTGAGAAAGCGTAGCCAGGGATAGATGGGCAGATGACCTCAAACACAACACCATCCTGGTTCTCTGTGAGAAGTGGCAGAATTCTGTAGAACTCATAGAAGGAGCCAGGCCAGCCGTGAACGAGCATAAGAGGCAGAACCTTCTGGTTGTCACGGTGTGGTGGTCGCACGTGAATGAAGTGCACATCCAATCCTGCATCAAAGCAAAAGCATTGGTGCTTAAAGAAAGTAAATAGTGTGTGGAATGATTCTTTAAAAATGTTACTCAAAAGCAAAACCTGTTTATATAGCTTGGGGCTGTGTGTACCTTCTATTTTGGTTTTGAAGTGTGGATACTTGTTAAGCACCTCCACCTGCTTTTTCCAATCAAATGTGTGTCTCCAATAGGAAACCACTTTCTTGAGATGTGTGGAGTTGAATCCATACTGGAAGCAGCTATCTTCCAAAGGATCAGCATAGCGGGTTCTGTCAATGCGCTCATGAAGGTCCTGTTGAGTAAGAGCACTGTTGATTACTTGTCATAAACATGTCTGAATGCTACTTTAAAAATATGATTATTAAACAGTTTGTTAAGAGCTCAAAAAGGACCTCTATCTCTTCATCTGAGGTTTGCACTTTGAAGGGATATATTTGATCATCCTCTGACAGTGGCTTCTCTCCTGCTCCCCACCATCCTTCACCAAGGGGGATACTTTTGACTTGTCTTCTCTTCTGCACCATGTATGCCAGTATGCCCCCAGCTGCCACTGCTGAGCCTATTAGGAGTTGCTTTTGGAAGGCATCCAAACTGCAGAATGTTCCCCTGCAGAATGTGGGAAAATAAGAAAACAAACACATTGGAGATAATCACAGCTGTAGAATAAGTATAAATAAATATATTACAGATATATAATAGGTATACATAATTAGCCAATTGGGGAATTAGTCGCTTATCCTACTTACCTCAGAACCTGGAGTCTTTCCATTGCGCAGTTCCAAAGGTGAGTTTTTTCTAGCCTGCACTTGTAGGGCAGAGGTAAAAAGTTTCATTTTCCGCACCGCTCATCGAATTTTGTGCAAAGCAAGCCAAAATCCAAACCACATGCGTTTCAACATACCTTGGTTGCCTCCTCTAAAGTTTTCCCTTCAGATAATGTAGGAATGTGCTCAAGTGGTGGTGGAAAAGGCCACTACGGGAGTCGGGAATGAACAAATCGAACACATTCGCGACTGGCTAAAATGAAAACCAAGAGGGAGGGGTTTGTGTTGCAGAGGCTGATGATTGGCTGCGAGAGGTGTCAATCCCCGTGAAAAAAAAACAGCCGCTGCCTTGTTGTTTAGATAAAAGGGAGGAGAGACGTCGAGCTGTTGTTTTGTGGTATTGCTTATTACAGTAAAACAGTAAGAGACATGATGTGGAAGATTGTCCTCCCTGTTCTTGCGGCGGTTTTTGCCGTCGGCTCATCGTCAATGGTCGGGGGGTATACAAACATAGATGTCAATGACGAAGGGGCTCAAAATGCCCTCAACTTCGCTGTCGTCGAACACAACAAGCAATCCAACAGCATGTTCCTCAGCCAGGTGGCGGAAGTGGTGGGGGTGAAGAGACAGGTTGGTAACCTTTAAGCTGGGCTTTAAATGTCTTAAGATTTGACTTTACAGACATGGTCAAATCAAGATACTTTGTTTATATGCAACCGTTGTCGTGGGCCTGCTTTTACGCCTGCGCCCATCAGGCTAAATGTTTCATTGTCACTCCTTATCCACATAAAGGCACATACAACAGCAGAGGGGGGAGAAGTACTCAGATCTTGTAATATGTAAAAGTACCAGATTTGATTATAATTAATGATGCATTAATGTGTTTATCAAAGCTGGTAAAGGTGCAGCTAGTTTTAATTACTTTGTATACTGTAGGGTAGTTACTGAATGTTACTCCAGATGTAATTTAAGTATTATTTATTTTTCTCATCATTAATCCAAGTCTGCAAAGTAACTAGGCAAGGCAAGTTTATTTATCTAGCACCTTTCAACACAAGGCAATTCAAGGTGCTTTACAAAAATGAAAGACATTGTTGACATATTGTGTAGGCAACTAAAAGTTGCCTACACAATAAATATAGTGGAGTAAGAGTACACCATTTACCTCTGAATTGTAGAGGTACAAAGTGTACTCACTCCGTGTCTCAAATTGTACTTTAGTACAGTACTTGAGTGATAATCTCTGTATTTATGCACGGATACTGAAAGTAAATAATGGATTTGGACTCAAAAAAACATGTTGACCCTTTGAGCACAGACACCCCTAATCCAATCAAACCCTGTTATATGAAGTCTGAATGTTTGTCACTATAAGATGTCATGGAAGACCACCCAAGCTTGTTAAAAATGCATAAATGAGGCATTAAGAATCTGATCATGATAATTGTTGTGATCTTTTCAACTTTGGTGGGATGTAATAGCTGACAGTTTTGCCTTGATTCTGCATTGCTAAAGGGCTTTATCATAAAGGTTTTCAATGATTTGTTTTTCTAACAACAAGTTCTTCTTACAGTTGGTTGCTGGTTTGAAATACGTCATAACCGTGAGAATGGGGAACACCCCCTGCAGAAAGGGCACTGCAAACGAAGTGTGTCCCATTCACCAAGACCCAGTCCAGGCTCTGGTAAGGACTTTATTAAGAGGCTCCAATCTCAGCTTCAGGAAGAAATAAGCCCCCATTGTATTTATTAATTGGAAGCTTTAAGACGTAATGTCTAAATTCCATACAGTACACTTGTATTGCTATCCTCAACAATAGACTACAAACTATCAGATTGTGAAATAATTTGGTACTTACTTCCCCTATATGAGTCATCGGGTTTTGTTTGTTGCTTTCTGCAAAGAGAAGTCAGGGAGGAGAACTGCCTCTACATTTTAACTAGATGACTAAGCTTAACAAATAATTCTACATTTGCCTATTAAAAATGAAAGAGGTCCATTGAAAGAGGAAAATATTTGATTACTTGAATAAAATCTGATTCTTAAATAATCAGGATCTTTGAACATGGGGGATGATAAGGTTTGCAAGTTATGCTATGTTGATCTTTGACTTTGATCTAATCTCAAAGTTGCAATGCTATATTCTGTGCTACAATGCTATACATATATATATATATGATGTCACTCTTTTTCTTTTTCAGCCCTACCAGTGCGAATTCACCGTGCTGGTCGTCCCATGGCGTAATGAGACTAGGATGCTCGGGCAGAAATGCTAGAAAGAGAACTACGTGGAAAATCTCCAGTGCTGGAATTGTTTGCGGAATATCCCTCAATCAGAACAATATGTTTTCGGTTAGATAAACCAGAAAAATATTAACTTTTCCATTTTCTGCCTAAGCTACTATACTTTATGCTAAATTCAGTACCTGTTGACTTTTCCTATACAGTATTGCAATGTTTGACATTGACATTAATTTTAGAAGAGCCACTTTGTACTGCTTAATCACTTAACCTAGCAAATACCAAATAATTATTAACTGAACTGTTGATTAGGCTATTAAAACATGCTGTTTTGAAATGAAAATAAAGCATCTTGTCAACCTACATCAATGTGTTCATGTGGTGATTGATAGTACAAATAATTAGGTCAAATGTATTCAGATTGATATTTTATAGAAACATGTTTTGTTGTGATTCTTTAGCATACATTAAAGGTGGGGTAGGTAAGTTTGAGAAACCGGCTCGAGATACACTTTTTGTTATATTCCATGGAATGCTGTTAACATCCCGATAGCAATGAATATCTTAAGTGCTTTGACAAAAAATCCATTAAAAAATGTCATCTGTGGAAGCCGTAGTACGTACTGTAAAAAGCACGACCAATCATTTTAGCCGGCCCGGCTAAAATAACTGGATGGCCTACCTGCCTGTCAGCCTTCCATCTGTGGTGCCCTCATTGGTCATGTGCGCGTTCGTGTGTGTTGGAGGGGCTCTGTAAGGAAGTAGCAGATTTCTTCCGGCTGTGTATTTTCAAATTTCAAAAATTACCTACCCCACCTTTAACTGGCGTGGCCAATAAGATAAAAAGTGTTATTTAAGATGAGAAGTTTAATAAAAAAAATTATAAAAACTTCTGCCTCTGCAGATCAATTACCTCCTTAATAATATTAACTGAACATTTCTATTTATTTATTTTTTATTCGAATACAGAGCATGAAACTAGAGTGTTTTACCCGTTCTAAACTCTTGTCCCTAATTGGGCTTTTATTTTGAAAATCGATAGCGGATGTTTGAACTTTAACAGTTGGCAACTTATTAACCATCAATGTTTCAGCTTTATTTATTTTTGAATCATCTCTTCTTAAATAATTGCTCAAATGGGATGACTCAAAATGGGATAAAAACAAAAGCTTTTATTTTCGGACAGGAAGTATTTTTCTGTTTAAGTATAGACCAGGCATCCTCAAAGTCCGGACTCCGGTCCGGATCCGGACCGAACCACAACTGTCTCTGGACTCTGAGCAAATTATACTTTTCATATGTGTTATCTGCGAGACATCGCCACAACGCAACGAGTCTACATGTTCCGCTATGTCCACTACAAACAGCGCTCTGCATGTCCGACTGTTCCACTGTATGTGTGTGTCTGTCAACGCATTGGTCCAATCACATTCAGCATCCCGTCAGCGTTTTTTTCCCCCACCAACAGTCTGCGAATCAGAGGCACAGTAGGGCGGGTCTTCGCGGAATGCGGGTGGGAAAAATGCGTGTGTTTAAAAAAAAGAAGTCAGAGCGAGAGTTAACAGCTCATCTAGTTGCATCTGTACTTTAGCTAGTAGCCTAGTTTCACCTACTGGGGTGGCCTGGGGGGGCAACTGCTATCCTGAAAATAGGCCTTGCCACCCCAGTTGGCAGCTTTGTTTTGAAAGAAAAGTTGTGGCTCATCGGACATTTATGAGAGAAAGTCTCTAATGTCCGAGTGCAAGTGAATGCAGCACAAGACGCACGCCTTGTAACCCTCCCCCGGACCTGGTGCGAGCTTTGAAATATGATTGGCGGCGATTTCATTTGAAC